GGGTTCTATAGCCTTGGATGGCAACTGGTCTAACGCAGAAAGAAATGGCAACTTACTGCGGGGAAAAAAATCTGCCTCGTCAGTCATGTATCGAAAGATACATGATCGTCTAAGCGTGCATCACGCATGACACATAACTGACTGACATAAGTTAATGGAATGAAATCCGAGCTACAATTCAAGTGACAGCAATTCCAAAAGAGGGCCTTGCAAAGTGTTTTGTGAGTAAATAGCAGGACAGACCTTGGATGGCAACCAGAAAGAAATGGCAACCTACAGCGGGAAAAATCTGGCTCGTCAGTTATGTATCGAAAGATACATGATCGCCTAAGCGTGTATCATCTATGGCACATAAATTACTGATATTAAAACATTTTCTTTGCATTTTGCATTCGTCTTAGTGCTTTGTCCATTTGTCTCTAAGTAAGACGATAAATTACATCCGGCAGCAAGTTGTTGATTGTTTAATTTTCTTTAGTGGTATATCAACCTCTATGTCTAATTAAATGCTGGAACCTAAATATTTTGAACAAAATTGTATGCCTTCAACTGCAGATAAAATGTATTGCTAATGATTTTGCTTTAGAAATGTATTTTCATTCATTTACTCTATGTAATGTTTGTAATTATTTTATATAAAACTGTATTTCTGGAATTTTTACTACAAAAAAGTATTTTTATACTTTGATAATGGGTGTTCAATATTAGCTCATAGCTGCGTCCTAACAGGGTGGACCTGGGAACTAATTCAATTATGAGGTGGTCCCACGCTCATCAAAACCTACAGTCTCTCAATAAGCGGCTTTGCTGTAAGATGTAGCTTATCGTCAGACCCAGGAATACCAGCAGGGTCCTAGCTATGGGCTAACATAGCAAAAAAAAAAAAAAAACAGCAAAAAAAAAAAAAAAAAAAAACACTAGGAAAGTGTAAAAATACATTTTATAATAAAAATAATTCATACATTTTTATTAAAAAAATACTAGCAATATAATCTTGTAGAAAGGATTACCAGCAATTTATTTTTATAGCGAAATTACTAACAATTCATATTTATAGTAAAATTACCATGTATATATTTCAAAGCAAAATGACCAGAAATACATTTAACAGCAAAATGAGCAATATATTTTATAATAAAATGAATAAAATGCATTTTTATATTAACTTCAAAAACAATACATTTAATAACAAAATGTCATTCAATACAGGACTACAAAAGTATAAAAAAATATTTTTATAGTAAAGTTACCAGCAATATATTTAAAAAAAAAATTACCACCAATACATTTTATCGCCTACAAATTATATACCTTAAAAAAACAGTTCTCTAAAAAGTACAAAGTATATGTAGTTGTAGGTATAAAAAGCGTTCAAAATATTTGCAGTTGAAACGTGTATTAAATAACTCATGGATGTTGATATGCCGCTAATCAAAATCAATCAAAGCAAACCTGTTGATTAATGATAGGAACGTGTGGCACCGAAAAACATCGCCAATAATTCCTTAACGGGAATCATGTTTTGTGAATTTAAAGAGAACATGAGAAAGCTACTTGAAAATGTTGAAAACGTCAACATAATGTCCTACATTAAAGAAACGGGTTTATACCCAGACATATTACATGTACAATTGACAATCTGCAAAATATATATTTATGGACTATACGTTTATCTGAAAGTATAAAATTATATACAAAATATCTGTAGTTGAAGGGATAAAATTGTGTTCAAAATATTTAGATTTCGGCATTAAATTAACCACAGTGTTTGATATGACCTAAACAAAATCAACCAAACCAAATCTTTTGTCCATAACAAACTCACTGCACTAAGGTGCATCATAAATAAAATCTATTCTTTTTTTATTATTTCTTTTTTCGAAAAATAAAGTGCAATTAAATTTTACTCAATTCTATATTCACCATTATTTGCGATGACTTGTTGCCACGTATCAGGTAACTTCTGAGTAAAATTCTGCGGATTTTAATGGAAAAAGTTTTAGACGACCTTTTGAAGTTTTTCCGTTTTGCAGCTATCGAAAAAAAGGTAATAATTTAGTGAAAGGTCAGATGAATATGGTGGGCGAGATAGAACAGACTAAACGAGTTCTCCATTTTTTTTCCAGTGTTATTCTTACTCTAACAGGTCTTGCCTTATCATCGACGGATTTTTTTAAAATTCACTGTGTTCGCTATCACTGTCGTGCAAAACCTAAGGCATATAAGTGTAATCCAAATATATTCTTAACCATCACGTATGATTAGTAGTAAGGAAGATACATGCATTATTAAAATTTCTTCTTTCCATACTTGGTATAACGATAAACTATATCCGGCAGCAAGATCGAATGATTTTGAGGATCGTAGAACTACTGTTGTTCCCAGGTCCACCCTGACCCAGGGTAGTAACACTTATTAGGGTCCCAGGTGTGGTTAAATTGTGACCCCCGATCTGGAGTTAAAACATTTGAAAATATAAAAATACATTTTTATAGTAAAAATACCAGCAATTTTCATAGTAAAAACACATTACCAGCAATACATTTTTGGAAAAAAAAATTACCAAATCTCCGAAGAAAATTAAATTTTGGCATTAAATGACCCATAAGGTGTTGATATGTCGTTAAAAAAAAACAAACCAAACAATTTGTTCTCAAAAAGGGGAGTTACCCAATATTTTCTGATCTTTTTATTTTCTTTCTGAATTTTTCCATTAATATTTTCCCTTTAATATACTGTAAAGAATATTAGTTAAATTATAAAATATTAAATACTAGCATATCTTGCCCGCTCGTTATCCCTTCACAAAGGAAGATATATTCACTTCTTGAAATCTTTGAAACAAAAATTTTAAATCAAAATTTCATTCATAAATTAGCTTGTTATATTTGAAGAAAGTTTTACAGATAGATGCCAACTTGTTGGATGCCAAGTAAAATGCAAATTTCAAACACTTTTCTGCACTATATAAGAAGATAATCCTAAACAACAATTTCTGATATGAAAATCAAAACAGTTTTCGAATAAAGAACAGTAATGAGAGACTGTTAATTAATGAAATAAACGTTTTCAAAACCAATGTGCAAATTAGATAAACCTGAAGAGTGATATTGCCTAGAAGTAGATAATATATAATACAAATATTGAGCTCCTTGTGGGTGAATTACAATAATGTAGAGTTGGGGTTTTTAATCTCAGAAGTCGTGGAAGAATTGAGCTCCAGACTCGTTTTTATTTATATAGATTCGATAATATAGGTTGTAATTAATTAACTATTATGTTTCTCTAACGTTTACTAATTCTAATTTCTATTTTCCCATCTTTACACCATATTAATTTTATCTTATAAATTGCCACCTGTTCTATGACCCATGAAATGAAAATATACGCAAATAAGGATCTACGTAAATCAAATCGTCGTTAAATTAAGTGGCAGCAGAATAATTATCGGTGAACTTTTAAAAGGTAAGCATAAACATTAATTTAATTCTTAAATGCAGCGATCTATTTTGAGTTTTTCTGTAGTTTATTTATGCCTGTTGCATCCACCCGTCCCTAGATATGATGGCCAAACCAAGAGTCCTCCACAGAAGCTAGCTTAAATGTCGTCCAATAGGGCAGGTTTTAAGTTAGATTATAATAAAATGTACACCGCAATTTTAGAAACAAATGGAAGACAAGAGTTACTCCCCTTGAACCATAAAAGCAACGATAATGGCTAGTATAATATATTAATATATATATTTTTTTAATCTTGAATAAACTGGCAACTCTTATTCTGAGCTCAACGGAAATCGTTCCCTGCGCCTAACTTTTCTAGGCATTTTGAATGAGCCGTGAATCATTGAAATCAGACCAGTTGGGGGTGGAAGTGTTGCTTGGTCACACATACGCACAAACACACACAGACACTGTACTTTATATATAAGATTAAAGATATAATATTTAAGATGAAATATTACAGTATCATTTCTCTGTCATTTTTCTTTCTATCTTCAATGTTGAAGACCGAGTTCCCATTCCAGCCTCGGCTTTTGCATTCCCTTTCACGCAAATTCCATATCCTCTTATTCTAGCTATGGGTTAAATAACAAAGTAGATCGCGCTCTCTAGCAATGGGTGCCTTCAAGTCTAAAAGAAAAATAAAACTATAGGGTACATTAATGTAATCCAATTTTTAAAAAATCTTTTCACACCAAGCATGCCGATAAAGCCAATAATACGCAAGGGGTTACTGAGTTTGAAAAATATGAGAAATGAAAAAAAAAACATTTTAAGGAGAATGATAAAAAAACAAAGATTATGAAAACAATATAACGATTGGAATTTCATTTAAAATTTTGAAGACAAAAGTTACTGGAAAGCAGAAAGAGAGTATTAAAAATGTATTCTTAAAAGTCACCAACTGATTGATACATCATTAAAAATGGTTTACCAAAACGGAAATTGAATATGACTCAACCTAATCTACATATCACTCAATCTATCTATCTATCTATCTATCTATCTATCTATAGTGTGCGCCATTTAACTACCACGTATGATTAAGAAGTTAAGATGATACATTCATCATTACAAATGGATTCTCAAAACGGAAATTACTTATGTCTCAAACTAATCTATCTATCTATCTAAATATCTATCTATCTATTCATCATTACTAATTAGCTATCTATTAGTGTGCGCCATTTAACTACCACGTATGATTAATCTATCTATAATCTATTCATCATCTAAATGGATTATCAAAACGGAAATTACTTATGACTCAAACTAATCTATCTATTAATAAATAGTTAAGATATTACATTCATCATTACAATTAGATTCTCAAAACGGAATTTACTTATGACTCAAACTAATCTATCTATCTATCTATCTATCTATCTATCTATCTATCTATCTATCTATTAGTGTGCGCCATTTAATTACCACGTATGATTAATAGTTAAGATAATACATTCATCATTACACATGGATTCTCAAAACAGAAATTACTTATGACTCAAACTAATCTATCTATCTATCTATCTATCTATCTATCTATCTATCTATCTATCTATCTATCTATTAGTGTTTGCCATTTAACTACCACGTATGATTAATAGTTAAGATAATACATTCATCATTACAATTGGATTCTCAAAACGGTAATTACTTATGACTCAAACTAATCTATCTATCTATCTATCTATCTATCTATCTATCTGTTGGTGTGCACCATTTAACTACCAAGCATATTTAATAGTTAGGATGATACATTCGTAATTACAATCGGTTCCAAGAACATAAATTACTTATGACGCAAACTAATCTATCTATCTATCTATCTATCTATCTATCTATCTATCTACTTATGACTCAACCTGATACTCTGTCCGTGTTGTTCTCCGCATCCATCGATAGAAGAAGAACAGTATTGTCTGAAATCTGTTTTTTCTTTTTAAATTAGTGACTAACCCTAGCTCTGTTTATTGTTTCTCTCGGGCCATTTTATGTGCTTTTCTCTTCCCATAACAATCAGTTTGGTCTGTGATCTGCCATCACAACAGTAGAGATTAGCATCGGGAAATTTAGAAGACAGAGACGCTCGCGTGCTTGTTCGAAAACAAGAAGCTTCCAGACCAATAAACAATGAACACAAAAGCCAAATTCTTCGAAATAGCATCGCCGAGTTTTACAAATAGCGTTGAACTTTTGATGTTGAGGCCATTAATAAATTCACGGCCATTTTATTACTGTTTTAAAAATGTTCACTTTAGCATTATCGAGAGAATATTCAATAACATCTGACTCAGTAACGCGATATGTCGGTGAAATGACATATACATGACTACGCTCTAGTGATATAAGCCTTTCACGTAGGTGTAAAAAGATAGATTACTTTTTAATCTTTTTTTAAACAACAGGTCATGCCTGTTCTAAGGAGAGAGTGATGAAATCCACCAGGTCCGTAAAGTCTGTTGAAATATCACGGATCGCTGGGTAGGTGGTGTTTGAGAAAGAATCGTTTTAAGTATATTGACTTTCAAGAATGAATATATTGAACAATGTTTTTCAATGTAAAAACCCTTCGAAGCCAATGATCTCTTCATGCATTCAGCAATCGATCCATCCGGTCATCTATTCATCGGTCCATCCATCTGTAATACCGTTCATCCATCCATATCACGGCTCGTCCATCCATCCATCCATCCATCCATCCATCCATCCATCCCACTGTCCAACCAACTGTTCATCCATTATTCCTACCGTCCATCCACCCATTCACACATCCATCCACCTATCCTCCGGTCCATCCAACCATCCATTCCTCATTTCATCCATTAATCCATCCGTCCATCCATCCGTAATACCGTTCATCCATCCATATCACGGCCCGTCCACCCATCCATCCATCATTCCATCCATCCCACTGTCCAACCAACCGTTCATCCATTATTCCTACCGTCCATCCATCCATTCGCACATCCATCCATCCATCCATCCATCCATCCATCCATCCATCCATCCATCCATCCATCCATCCATCCATCCATCTCCCGGTCCATCCAACCATCCATTCCTCATTTCGTCCATTAAGCCATCCAGCCATCTATCTATCTATCCATCCACCCCATTGTCCATCGAACCGTCTATCCATTATTCCTTCCGTCCATCCGTCCATTCATCCATTCGTTCACCCATCCATCCATCCATCCATCCATCCATCCATCCATCCATCCATCCATCCATCTCACGATCCATCTAACATTGATTCCTTCCACCTATCCATCTATACATACACCCATCCCACTGCCCATTCAACATTCCATCCATTATTCTTCCCATCCATCCATCCATCCATCCATCCATCTATTACAGAGTTCATCCTACCATTCATCCGACAATTCGTCCGTCCATCCATCCACCCATCTCACGGTCTATTCAAACATCCATTCATCCTGTGGTCCATCCAACCTTACATGCAGTCTGTCCGATCATCCTCCCATCAATCCCACTGTCCATACCACCGTCCATCAGACATTTCTTCCGTCCGTCTATCCATTCATCCATAGATGCCACGATCCATCCTAACATCCATCCGTCATTCCGTCCAGCCATCCATCCATCCATTACACGGTCCATACCACGGTACATGCAAACATTCATCCGTCATTTCCTCCCTCCCTCCATCCATTCATCTATCGTTTACACGCTCCATCTCCCGGTCCATCCAACCATCCATCCTTCATTCCGTCCATCCATCCATCCATCTATCTCACTGTCCATCCATCCATCCATTCATCCATCCATCTATCCATCCATCCATTCCACGGTCCATCGAACCGTCCACCCATTATTCCTGCCGTCCCTCCGTCCACCCATCCATTCATCCGTCCATTCATTATTCTTTCCTTCCATGCACACAATCATCCATGCGTCCATCCATACATCCATTCCACGGTCAGTCCTACGATCCATCCATCATTCCGTCCATCCATCCATCCATCCATCCATCCATCCATCCCATGGTCCACCCACCATCTAATCCATTCAGCCATCCTTCCATTCATTCTGACGGTCCAACCAAACATCCATCTGTCATTCATTCCGTCTAGCGATCCATCCATCCATCCATCCATCCATCCATCCATCCATCCATCCATCATCGTCTCCACACAACCGTCCCTCCGCCATTCCTGTCATCCGTCCAGTCATTCATCCACCACCCCGTCTACACATCCATTCATCCATCCATCCCACGGTTCATCCCGCATCCTTCCGTCATTCCGTCCATCCATCCATCACACGGTCCATCCGACGTCCATTAAACCATCCATCCGTCATTCCATCCATCCATTCATCACACCGACCATCCATCCGTAATTTCGCCCATCAATGTATTCATCGATCTATCTATCTCACTGTCCATCCATCCATCCAACTCACCGTCTATCCAACCATCTATCTGCCCATCCATTCATTCATCCATCCGGCCATCCATCTATCCATCCATCCTATGGACTATCCAACATTCCATCCGTCATTCCGTCCATCAATCCATCCATCCCACTGTCCATTCGTCATTCCATCCATTTTCATCCGTTCATCCACCTATACATCCGACTATCCAAGAATCTATCCAACAATCCAACTGTAATTCCGTCCATACATCCATCCATCCATCCATCCATCCATCCATCCATCCATCCATCGATCCGGCATTCCGTCCGTCCATTTATCTATCCATCCATTCATCTGTCATTCATTCCATACATCCTCTATACCACGGTCATCCAACGATCCATCCGTCATACCATCCATCCATCCGTCCATCCATTCGTCCCTCTATCTATCCATCCATCCATCCATTCATCACACGGTCCATCCAACCATCCATTCGTAAGTCCGTCCATTCAACAATCTGTCCATCCATCCATCACATGGATTCATACATCAGTCCATCCATTAATCCATGCATCCATCTCACGGCCCATTCCATGGTCTATTTAACCATCCACCCGTCATTGCGTGCAGCAATACATTCATCCATCAATCCGTCCATACATCCATCCATCAATCCGTCCATCTGACGGTCAGTCCAAGCATACATCCGTCATTCCGCCCATCCATCAATCCATGCATCCGCCATTCCTTCCGTCCTTCCATTCATCCATTCGCACATCGACCCATCTATCCATACAACGGTCTATTCAACATTCCATCTGTCATTCTATCTATCCATCCATTCATCTATCCATCAATCCCACGATCCATCAACAATCCCTCCCTCATTCCGTTCCTCAAACCATTCATCTATCCTTCATTCAGTCCACCCATCCATCCATCCCACGGTCCATCCTCGATCCATCCATTCGTCCGTCCGTCTGTCCATCATCCATCCATCTATCCATCCATCCATCACCGGGTTCATTCCAAGTTCAACCCAACCATCCATCCGGTATTCCATCCGACCATCCATCCCTTCATTCATCCATCCCATGGTCCATCCAACTATCCCTCCATTATTCATCCATCCATCCATCCATCCATCCATCCATCCATCCATCTCAAGGTCCATCCAATCATCCCTTCATCATCCATCCATCGAATCCTACGCTCCATCCAACCATCCATCCGTCATTCCGTCTATCCATCCATCCATCCATCCATCCGTCCGTCCAACGGTCTATAGAACCATCCATCCGTCATTCCCTCCGTCCATTCATACGTCAATACACACATCCTTAATTCCCTCCATTCATACATCCATACATCAATCCCAAGGTCAATCCATAATCCATCCATCCATACGTCCATCCATCCGCTATTCCTTTCATTCATTCATCTATCCTTCCATCAATCCATCTCTCCATCCATTTGTCCATTGATCCGTCCATCCAAACGCCATTCCATCCATCCATCTATCCATCCATCTATCCATCTATCCATAGGTCCATCCATCCGTCAATCCGTCCATCCATCCATACGTTCATCCATTCGTCCATCAGTCCAACCTGTCTAACAGTTTAGCTAGAGAGCGAGATACAGATTATTCATCTGCTAGTCTTTTTTAATTTTTATTTTATTAATTTGTGAATTACATTTACAGGTCTATGCATTCGAGAATCTTAGTAAAAAATATGCCCATCAAAAAGAGTCGGTAATAAAATAGGTTTTATTTATTTCAATAAGTGTCAGTGAAAAACTAAAACCTTTTTTTCCAAACAACTTCAGACGAAAAAAAAAGGACGAAATGAAGCCACGAATGTTTTCTCTTTTATTTTTATTTACTAAACTTCGATTAGATGTGACGCAAAGGCGAAATTATGGGCCCCTAATGAGGATCAACATCACTGTTCTGTCGGAATTGATCTCTCGAGAGGAATTTTGCCCGTGCTTCCATTTTTACGCCACATATCAATTCCCTGGACAAATTTATATTTGTTTCATGCGTAAATATATTTTATTTGGTGGTATATATTCTTGTTATCACCAAGAAAGAGAGACGTCTCCTTCGATCTTTGATCATTCCCTAAATGATTTCTCTTTGGTGAAGCCATACTTTTGACTATATGACGCGTTTTCTGTAAGAGTAGTCGACGAGTGGACTGAAAGCAGTAAGCACTGGATCCATATATTTCCCATTGGGTATGAGTTTAACAGAAGACAAACAGCCCGAGAGCGAATTTGAACCGAATTTGTCGATTCCGTTTCCCGAATTGGTAATCGTTACGATAACCTTCCTATTACGAAAACAGTACGGCAAAGTAAAAATAAAATCGAAAAAAAAATGTCTAATATACTTTCAAGTGAAAGAATAACAATAAATGTAAAACAACAGATGATAAAAAAAAAATAGAAATAAAAGCGGAAATCTCTCCAGGAAGTCAGAGCTGGACAGGAAGTCCTAAAAAGAGAAAAAATCCCTTTAAACAAGAGGAAAAACAAAATAATCAAGAGTAAAAGAATTGTGGATGAGATGATTGGTGGTTTGTTTTCGGGGCAAGAGTTGTGTCAGGACTTGAAGTTTGGACGTACAATTGCAATTTGTTGTCTGGCCAGTCAGGTGAGGTCTGGCAGCAGACATTGAAAGTTGGTAACTGTAGTAAAGAGTGGCTGAAGCGGGGGGGCTAAAAAGGAAGTGGGGGGACCTCAGCAACGGTACATCTATAATTCATGCCGTTTCAACTTCCATACAATCTCGATTATTCAAGTGTGTTTTTTCTTTTCTTCTTCTTTTCTTTCTACTTTTTTTTTTAAAAATTCCAATCCTTTCTTTCCGTCTTTAATCTGTAGTTTGTGTGTTTTTCATTCATTCTTACGCCAATCCTTTCTTTCTTTCTTTCTTTCTTTCTTTTTTATTTCTTTCTTTCTTTCTTTCTTCAAACTCTTCTTTCTTTTTCTTTCTTTGTTACCCCAATCCCTTCTTTCTTTCTTTCTTTCTTTCTTTCTTTCTTTCTTTCTTTCTTTCTTTACCTCAATCAATCAATTCTTTTTTCTTTTTTTCTTTCTTCTTTCTTTCTTTCTTTCTTTCTTTCTTATCTCAATCAATTCATTCATTCTTTCTTTCTTTCTTTCTTTCTTTCTTTTTTTCTTTCTTTCTTTCTTTCTCACCACAATCAATCAATTCTTTCTTTCTTTCATTCTTTCTTCCTTCAATCAATTCTTTCTTTCTTTCTCACCTCAATCAATCAATTCTTTCTTTCTTTCTTTCTTTCTTTCTTGCCTCAATCAATTCTTTCTTTCTTTCTTAACTCAATCAATTCATTCATTCTTTCTTTCTTTCTTTCTTTCTTTCTTACCTCAATCAATTCATTCATTCATTCTTTCTTTCTTTCTTTCTTTCTTACCTCAATCAATTTATTCATTCATTCTTTCTTTCTTTCTTTCTTTCTTTCTTTCTTACCTCAATCAATTTATTCATTCATTCTTTCTTTCTTTCTTTCTTTCTTTCTTTCTTTCTTTCTTTCTTTTTCTTACCTCAATCAATTTATTCATTCAATCAATTTCACCATTTTTCTTTCTTTTTCTTTTTTTTCTTTCTTTCTTTCTTTCTTTCTTACCTCAATCAATTCTTTCTTTCTTTCTAAGGTACCATCAATTATTTCTATCATTATTTCTTCCTTTAAAAAACTCAATCAATTCTTTCAACCTTTTGGGAGAAAATAACTGAAAGTGAGGTACACCATTTTCCAATAAGAAATTCATTTTTGCCTTAAATATCGGCATTTAAAAGCTACTATTCCTACTGGCTTCGTAAACACACTATAGCAGTATCAGGCAATGCTCAACTATCTTAGCCACTATACATGTTAATCTCTCACGTGTTTCTTGCAATTCTTCTTTGGTTTTCTTTGGTTTTCTTCCCTTTTTCCATTATCTCTTTAGCTTTTGTTTTAATCATTTTCCATTTTATTCTGCCCTTATTGTATTTTGCTTCACTTATTGTCCATTTTTCATTCTTCATTTTCTTTCGTTGTCCTTTCCATTTTTGTCATTTTCACTTGGCTTTTTATTCTGTATTCTTCTCTACTTTTAATTTTCTGTTTTTATTTTTGTAGCCTTTTAATTCCTAATCATTTCTTTATGTTTCATTCTATTTTCTGGGCGTTCTATTATTCTTGCTTCGATTTGTTACCAACAGGCCATCATTGACATCTGTCACAAAATGGCGGGAATGGGCAACGAGGAACGAAATGAAAAAAAAGGAAAAGGTGGTGGCGTGAAAATGTCTCCCAGAGACATTTTCAATAGTTGCGGAAAAGAAAGGAAATAAAAATTGAAAATGAAGAAAAAATAGTAAAAGTTAAACGAAAGAAAGAAAGAAAGAGATAACGGAGAAGAAATAAAAAGAGAAATAAAAAGAAAGTGAGAACAAGAAAAAAAGGATAGAAAGAAAGAAAGATTGAGAATAAGAAAGAAAGAAAGAAAGAAAGAAAGAAAGAAAGAAAGAGATAACGGAGAAAAAATAAAAAGAGAAATAAAAAGAAAGTGAGAACAAGAAAAAAGGATAGAAAGAAAGAAAGATTGAGAATAAGAAAGAAAGAAAGAAAGAAAGAAAGAAAGAAAGAAAGAAAGAAAGAAAGAAAGAGATAACGGAGAAGAAATAAAAAGAGAAATAAAAAGAAAGTGAGAACAAGAAAAAAAGGATAGAAAGAAAGAAAGATTGAGAATAAGAAAGAAAGAAAGAAAGAAAGAAAGAAAGAAAGAAAGAAAGAAAGAAAGAGATAACGGAGAAGAAATAAAAAGAGAAATAAAAAGAAAGTGAGAACAAGAAAAAAAAGGATAGAAAGAAAGAAAGATTGAGAATAAGAAAGAAAGAAAGAAAGAAAGAAAGAAAGAAAGAAAGAAAGAAAGAGATAACGGAGAAAAAATAAAAAGAGAAATAAAAAGAAAGTGAGAACAAGAAAAAAGGATAGAAAGAAAGAAAGATTGAGAATAAGAAAGAAAGAAAGAAAGAGATGACGGAGAAGACATAAAAAGAGAAATAAAAAGAAAGTGAGAACAAGAAAAAAGGATAGAAAGAAAGAAAGATTGAGAATAAGAAAGAAAGAAAGAAAGAAAAGAAAGAAAGAAAGAAAGAAAGAAAGAGATAACGGAGAAGAAATAAAAGAGAAATAAAAAGAAAGTGAGAACAAGAAAAAAAAAAGGAAAGAAAGAAAGAAAAGATTGAGAATAAGAAAGAAAGAAAGAAAGAAAGAAAGAAAGAAAGAAAGAAAAAAAAAAGAAAAGAGATAACGGAAAGAGAAAGAGAAAGAAAGAAAAAAAAAGAAAGAGAAAAAAAAAAAAAAGGATAGAAAGAAAGAAAGATTGAGAATAAGAAAGAAAGAAAGACAAAAAAAAAGAAAGAAAGAGATAACGGAGAAGAAATAAAAAGAGAAAAAAAAAGAAAGTGAGAACAAGAAAAAAGGATAGAAAGAAAAAAGATTGAGAATGAGAAAGAAAGAAAGAGAGAAAGAGATGACGGAGAAGACATAAAAAGAGAAATAAAAAGAAAGTGAGAACAAGAAGAAGAGGATAGAAAGAAAAAAGATTGAGAATGAGAAAGAAAGAAAGAGAGAAAGAAAGTGAGAACAAGAAAGAAGGATAGAAAGAAAAAGAGAACAAGATAGAAAAATAGAAAGAAAGAAAGAAAGAAAAAAGGGAGAACAAGAAAGAAGAATAGGAAGAAAGAAAGAAGAGGTAAGAAAGAACGAAGTATAGATAGATAGAATGATATAGAAAGAACAGAAAAAGCACCAAAAGAAAGAAAAAAAGAAAATACTGTTTAAAATGTGAGTAAAGAAAGAAAGAAAGATTTGATTTGAAAAACTGATCACAAAGAAAGAAATGTAGCGAAATGGTAAATAAAGAAAATTGAAGAAAAGAAAAAAAAATGACAAAAGAGTGACGGAAAGAAAAGCGAAGGTAAAAGAAATAAAATGCTAATAATATAAGAAAGAAAGAAGAAATAAGTACTGAAATAATGGCATCTGAAGATAAATGGATAAAAAAAACTAAACGAAAACAACGCGACAGAATGAAAATAGAAAAGGAAAGAAAAATGCAAAAATTAGAAAGAAAAAAGAAAGGAATGAAAGAAAGAAAGAAAGAAATAAAGAAGGAAGGATAAAATATTATAAATAAATAAAGTCAGAATGAAAGAAAGATTTAAGCTTAATGATAGTAACTGCAGGAAAATGAAGAGAAAGAAAAATAATGGAACAAAGGAAAACAAAGAGAATTCGAAAGAAAAAGAAATGTAAAAGTTGAAAGAAAGTTAAGGCGAATGCTAAGGAAGGATACAAAAATGAAAATCGAAGGAAAATGAAAAGAGACGAAATGGCCAAAAATACGAAAAAAGAAATAAAATAAAGAAAATACACCGTGGTCCGAAAGTCTTTTCACCCGTACACAATATAATTTTCTATTTCAACGATCTGTTTGGGGGGGGTGGTATTATCAAGGAGAGAGTTTCATATGAACGATACCAAAATACACATCAGTTGAAAGACACCGTTGGGAGAGCCTTTGCAAGAATCAACAAAGCACAGCTTCGGAAAATATCACACAGGACATGGCGCCACATCATTTTTTACCATGAAAATGATGATGTTCATATAAAGCTGCTCAATGTGTAACAGCGTCAATGAAAATGAATAAATTAAAAACAGTAAATGTGCTTTGTATTACTGTGTTACTTGTTCGTCTATGGTTCTCATTAATTTTTCGTAGTGGGTGATTAGACTTTCGGACCGCCCTGTAGAATAAAAACACGTCAGAATAAATTAGACAAAAAAAAAAAAGAAAGAAAAAAAATTAGGATAAACGAAGAAATGAAAAAAGAAGAAGAAAAAAAAAACAGACGCAGAAGAAAGAGACAAAGAAGAAATAAAAAGGAGAAAATAGAAAGAAAAAAAACAAATGAAATACAAAAAAAAGTAATGAAAAACGGAAAACTAATCTGAGGGAAAGACAGAAAATAGAATAAAAAAAACGAAAGAAAAAAGAAGGAAAGGAAGGAAGAAAGAAAGA